ATAATAGGGAAAGCTAAGTGGCAGAGGCTTGACATAGTTGATCACATCACATCCATGATCAAGAAACAGAGGGATAGATGCTGCCCCCTTTCTCCATTCATCCAGTCCAGGGTCCCAGCCATGGAATGGTGCCACCACAGAGCTGGCCTTCCAACCTCAACTAATGTAATCAAGATTATCTCTCACAGACATGCCCAGAGGCCCATCTCCAGGGCAGTTCTACACTCTGTCAAGATGGCAAGCAACACTAACTATTGCAATCATCTCATTTGTTGTATGAGAACGTTGGAATTTCTCATCCTAACCACAGAGAAATCTCCATTGAGATTCTTGGTACAACATGAAAAGTACCAGCAAACCCTTCTGAACCATGGGTCAGGAAGAACTGACTAAGGATGATGAGAAAGTATCCACAAGCCCCGTTGCATGGGGGTGTTTGTTTGGAACATGTCAAGATCCTCTGATGGAAATCTTCCCCAGATAGTTGAAAACCACCACGTAGCTGCTGATGAATGACATCAGTCCTCTTCATCACTTGAGCTAAAGCAATGCAGAACAGAAGGAAGCGGTCCATCTTCTCCATCCGCTCTCTGAGAATACACATGTGCATGCCTGGACACACTGGCAGATAGCTACACTCTGTCTTCCTATACCATTTTCCAGGGACCAAAGGATGTGACACCAACCATTCAGTAGTAAGGGAAACAGAGGCCCAAAATGCATACATCATGGTCCCAGTAGCCAAAAGATACAACATTCCCTCTCAGTGTAAAATTACCTCATGTCCTGCACCACCCTAGATTCCCAGGCAAGATTCTAGCTCAGAAACTGACCCCGCAGAACCCCCTCCTCAGACAGCTCTGGAAGCCCCGGGGCTCCAGCTCAGAGCTGTGGATGGAATAAGTCCACGGAATGTCACAGCACCAGCCTTTGCAGATGGCCAGGTGGAAACCACTCAGATCTTTCTTGAAGAGCCTCCCTCTCCTCACATATCCCCATTTTGCCTTCTGTCAAAGGAAAGCCCAAGAGCCTGAGGAAAGTTTAGGGGGGTAGCTTGTATAGTCTTTTTTCTCTTGGTCATCCAGTTTGTTTTCTCTGCTGGAAAAGCACGTGAAGGGGGCCACCTCTGGCTTGCCAGGGAAGCCAGCTGAGGGAAAGGTAGAGTCGTATTTGATGTCATGTGGCAGCTGGGACCTGAGAGGAAGATCTCTAGGACCTCTGCTAACTCCCCTACAGAGCACTCAGCTTTCAGGGGAAACTCCGGAAGTGAACAGAAAAATCAAAGGCTTTGTTTCATTACAGAAAAGTCTTTAAAATGTAATCACCTGGGAGAAAGAAATGCAAAGGAGATTATTAATTGTGATTAAAAAAACAAGGATATTAAAACAAAAGAGAGAAAGAACTATGCAGAGAGGGAGGGCTTAAGGAATGGAATTAAGACTGGGAGAATACACAAGTCTTTTCTCAACAATCAAGAACTTGTCTTCCTCCTGTTCCGTTTGGTTCTTATATACTCTCTAGACTGACTCCTCTGGGGACATCCAGTGATTGTTAAATTCAGTAAATATTAGCTAGGAGTCCCGAGAAGTAACAACACAGCCTTCTCTATCAGATCTGTAGTGTGTGCAGAGTCTGGGGCATCTCCTCCTGCCTCCCTTTCCTCTGTTTTGAACACATTCTGACTGTGGTGTTTTACAGTCTCTTCACCTAGGAGGAAAAGAAGAATTCACCCTAGTTAGAGACATTCGCTTCCACTTAGTGTGAAATTTCCACAGCTAGTATGAGAGAAAACTTGCCTAAACCAGGCTAGACATTTCAGACTGTGTTGTTGGAAGCTTCACTGTAGCTGGAAGAGCACTGTGGTTAATATTCACCTACAGGACCTCCTGGGACAGTGTAACGGGCTGTGCAAAAGAAAAGGCCTTCCTTCCTTTCCCCCCACTTCTCCTTCCTCACACAGACACTCACATCTAGCAAATGATTCAAATTATCAGTCATACAGTATGCTCCTGCGGAGGGCTGTCTGCCAGTGGCTGATTCTGAGTTACACATGAGATAAGCCTCCCAGATGGTGTTAACCATTAGCCCACTGTTGACCATTCGCCACATCATAGGTGTAAATGTTTAACAGAAGGGCTCACACATGCAAACACAGACACACACACATACACACACACACACACACACACACACACACACACACACACACACACACACACATATACACGCACACGCACACAGCAATATGCTCTCAAATACTGTGCACTCTTTAGTAAGCTGATCAGTGGGAACTCGGGACAGAGTTTCTGTGAACACGTTTGTACACTGTTGTATGACTTACATTTTGAAGGGAGCTGGTAATCCCACAACTGCCATGCAAACATTCTCCCACATCCCAGCTCTGACAGGGCAGATGAATTATGGAGGCCGTTAAGCTCCCGTGGCTGGTTAAACATGAAGAATGGCTGCCCCTCATTCTTCCATATGGTTGTTAGATGGTTGTTGGTTCTCTTGAGCCATACTTCTGAAGTGGCTCGGTAGCAACCATCTTTATCTATTTGGAATTCCTTGGTCTAAGAGAACAAGAGGATATCCCTTCTTCAAAAGATGCAATACTGTTTGAATATATTGCCATGAGTTATGGCAGACAATTTTGGATGCCCCCCAACTAATTAAAAAAAACTCCATATATCAGAGTTTGGCTTGTAGTTCAAATAACTCTTAATTTAAATCACTTTTTCATGCTAACTTCAGTTATAAATAATGTTCTGAGAGAGTGCTGGCTGGGACTGAGACCTTATTAACTTGGGAGGGGGCAGGTCCTAAATGAGGTCATCTATTAGAGAAGTGTGGTTCCCAGCACAGTAACTGCCATTATGGTCCTCATGACTGGAGGCAAGCCACATCGTGGTTTTGGATATCCATCCTCAGTGAAAAGCATGGCGTCAAGCTAACTGGTCTCTTGGTCTCTCCTAGCTTTTCTTCTTGCCAGCCACTCACTATCAGACCTAGAGATACTAGGGAATGAAAAATGGAGATGTGCTGGGCAAGGCGACTCATGCCTTAATCACAGCACTTGAAAGGCTGAGGCAGGATGATGACCATCAGTTTAAAGCCAGCCAGAGCTCTAGAGTGAGACCCTATTTGAAATAAGAAAAAGAAAAAGAAGGAAGTGATAAAGACAGGAATTGCTCCTCAATCTTGTCGGTAGAAAAATGACGTCACTTAACTTCTTGTTGCCTGCTAATGGATCTGGATTTGTCTCCAACCCTAAATAAAGGCCATATATAACATGGCATCATTCACTTAAAAGTTCATGAAGAGGGTGGGTCATGTCAAGTGTTTAACCACCAAAACAGATATTCTGGAGGGTAACGGACAGATGTATTGTGGTGATGGTGTCTCACGTGTGCAGGCCTGCCTCCAAAGCCATCAAGTTGTATATGAGAAACACACAGACTTTTGCACATGTTTTAATTAGTGCCTCAGTGGTGCTGTTTTTACAAACATAGAAATTCAGGCCCATGTTGCTTCATGGCAGGGAGTACTCTGATAGATGTGGTTTTATTGTTGTGCAGGCATCGAGTACATTTACAAACTACGGTGACCATGACATCACTAGATGATGTCATCTTGGACCACTGGAGTAAACGTATACTGGCATAGATGTGAATGTTCCTGCTTAGAGTCTAATTATGTCTGTGTTTTGACAAAAACATACATTGGATTTTTTTTTTTCAAAAACCAGAAAGTTTTTATTCTTTTAAAGGCCACGCTCCTAGATTACAACCATTTGGTGAAGTCCTAAAAGAACAGAAGAATATTTAAACTAGACACCGGACCATCAATGACTAATAGAACCTTCGTTAAGACGGAAACATTATAGATCTCTGTTGACATGCCAGCCACCAGCTGCCCTGAGCTCTGAGCACACGGAAGAGTTGAGCTGGGTACCACCGAGGAACTGCACTTACAGTCTTGCTTGTTTACCTTCCAGTCAAGTCGTGACCCCATGGGAACATTTCTTCATGAAGCCTCACTACGAGTCCTAAGGCAGAAATTAAAAAGAGACTGTAATGGGGCTGGACATGGATGTGAACCCTTCAGTCACGGCACTTGGGAGGCAGAGGCCAGTCTGAGCTCTGGGCCAGCCAGGGCTACACATGAGACCCTATCTCAGAAAACAAAAATAAAAAATGTAATTTTCATTCTTGAGCAGCTCTATTCTTTTGGCTGATCAGGTGAGCAGGTTTGGGGCTAGAGAGATGGCTCAGTGGTTAGGAGCACTGGCTACTCTTCCAGAAGACCTAGGTTTAATTCTCAGCACTCACTCATGTGATAGCTTATAACCATCTATAACTCCAGTCCAAGGGGATCCAGCACCCTCTTCTGGCCTTGAATATGTGTCTGTACAGTCTCTCTCTTCCCTTCCCTCTCTCCCTCCCTTCCTCTCTGCCTCCCTCCCTCCCCACTCTCCCTCTCTCTTTCCTTACACACACACACACACACACACACACACACACACACACACACACACAGACATACATGCACATAAAACACCCATACACATGAAATAAAACTAAAGATGAGCAGTGTCTGCAAAGCTGGACATGGTCCATCCCTACTGCCTCATTCAGATTTGAACATTATGTGTAGGCTTCTTGAAAAGATCTTGAGGAGTGTTCAGGACGGAGTCACTTAGAGAAATTGTCTAAAGAATCAAAGACACTCTAAAAGTATTTGTGATTCCGGGGAACTCCCAAGAAAGACCAGGTCTCTTCCATGGGAGCTACTGTAAGGAAGCTGTTTAGTACCAAATTCCAAAGAGTTCTGTGACACACGCCTAGAATCTCCACACTTGGGAGGCAGACAAAGCAAGGTTGTGAGTTTGAGGCCAGCCTGGACTACACTGCAAGATCTGTATTTTTAAAGTTTTTAATTAATTAATTATTCAAAACTAAGTAGATATAAAAGACTCAGCTTCATTTTTTTCCTTTCAGGAGCTTATTGATGTTGACAGTGAAGTGGTGTTTGAATTGGCTTCCTATATCTTACAGGTAAGTTGTCGTATATACACACAAAAGGAAATGTAGCTGCCATCACACGCAGCAGCCACCTCCACTGTTGGACTTTCTAAGGTTTTCTAGCCACAGATGAAGGAGGTATTAGGAATGCTGATGCCATGGCCGTAATTAGAGGTTTGTACTATTCCAAAATTTCAAGACAGTATATCATATGACCTTGGGGGAAAATTATGGGTTTAATCTGCCATTGTTTGATCCTCCAACCCTACACAAAAGGAGGTACCCCACTTGAGTTTGGTACCTTCTTTTCCCTGAGAAAAACCAAATGAATACCTAGAAAGAATTACCTCCTCTCCCCCCAAAAGGCAAAGTAACAATCTTTAGTTTGAGACAGACAGACAGATGGGAATATCTGTAGTGCAAATCCTAATTAGTCTTAAAAATAAAAACCCGGAGTCAGATATAGGGGTAAATGCTGAAAGGTAAGCGGGACAAAGGAACAAGCCACAGCCACCTCTTATCTCGCCAGCTCCTCAGCCTGAAAGGGGTCGAGCTCCTGTCTCCGCCCACCTTGTATTCCTCTCTCTGCCCAGCCGTATCACTTCCTGTTTCCTCCTCCCTGTGCTGGGATTAAAGGCATGTGCCTCCCAAGTACTGGGATCAAAGGCATTAGATCCCAAGTGCTGGGATTAAAGGTGTATGCTACCACTGTCTGACCTCTATGGTTAATTAATGGCTAGCTCCACACTCTGATCTCCAGGCAAGCTTTATTTGTTAGAGCACAAACAAAATATCACCACAAGTATCATCTATAACATTGGCAGGATGAGTTGAAGCACTATCATGAAGTTATTCTTTTGACAAGTGTTTATTGTGTGCTGCTGTGTCCAAGATAATTCTCCCATGGTCACTGATGTTCACATGGGCTCTGGCTTCCAATTCCAACAGTATAATTAGGAAAGAGCTCACCGTTCCAAACGTAACAGAAGAAGTAGACAGTTGTAGCCTGGCACAGTGGCATGCACCTGTAATCCCAGCTGCTTTGGAAGTTGGGCCAGAGGGTAGACTGCAGCTGTCTGGAGGGAAAGGAAGGGAGGGTGGAAGGGACTGGAAGAGAAGGGGCTTAGAGGGGGGAGGTTTAAAGGAGGAGATAGGAAACTGAAGAGAGGGAGGGGGAGAGTGGGGAGGAGGAGGGGAAGAGAGAGGAGAGAGATAATTTGTGTATGTAGAGAGAGAAAGGAAAAAAGGGAGGGAGGGAGAGAAAGAGAATTTTATCCAGATATGTGATCAGTTTAGAAGTTTCAAGCCTCATTTAGCTAGACTGGGGCCTAGAAATATAAACCTATATATAACTTTGTGAAGTTTACATTGTGTCTCTTATTTGGGTATCATATGTACATAGTCTCCCTGACTCTGAACCACCAGATAGGGTCTCACTATGCAGCCAAGGCTGATTTCAAACTCAGAATCCTCCTCCCTGAGCATCCCAAGTGCCGGGAATTACAGTTACGGGAATGTTCTCCCACACCTGGCTGAGCATTCCTCATCACTGAATCCAGAGAAACAGGGTGACAGCAGTGGGAAGCTTGTCCTGTCTTATTCAGCAGAGAGGTAGCCTTGATTCTAGGATGTCAGTTTTCATTCTTAACGACGGATCCATCATGTTTCACTCATTTGTTTTTCTTCCACAGGAAGCAAAAGGCGATTTCTCTAGGTGAGTCCCCAGAAATCGTTCTCTTATTGGCTTAAAAATGTATTTGTTGCTTTTACATTTAAAGAAACTACCTTGCACGTACCTTGTAGGAATACGGTATATTAATTGGTGAGATCCAGCTGTTGGACTGTCAGCTGAACAGGCAGTCTGGGCAGGGCGCACACAGTGGTAGTGAGGACAGTATTCTTACTAAACGAACCTCCTTTGGGCTACTGAAAAGCTGAGCTCAGAGCCCAGTGTTTCCAATGGCCATTGTTCTCATGTGTCTCTGGGGAGCCGGAATCGCTCCTGGGATGTAAGTTTGGTTGCATATAACCTGACAGTTCTAACGAGGAGATAGAGAGATGCACATCTTTTTATCCTCTCAATTTAGTTACTGACTTTCAAGGGGGGGTATTAACAGCACAGAAATACCACTCCTGTCTGCCTTCCATGGAAAGATGCTATGTTGAGAAAAAAAAACAAAAACAAAAACAAAAAACAGACTTAACTGCTGAGGATAGCGTGAGTAATCCTGTGCCACTGCTGGCTTGAACATTCATTCATTGAGCACCATACACAGCGCAGCACAGCTGAAATTGTCCCCAGTCTCTCATGAGCTACATGGAGCCCTCACAGCACAGGGGATCGTAGCTAGCCCTCAGCAGAACAAACTGTTCATAGGCAGACATTTCCCAGGATTCTGGTTTATCAACATCTTCTGGGAAAAGCTCAGGATGGCTCATTCTTTAGGATCAAGATTTTTCTGTAAAAGGAATGACTATGGCCAAGAAAGCAAAATATCCAGCCATGTGGTTTCAAGAGGTGGGACTTATAGCTCGATGGTAGGACACCCCTGCCTGACAGATGTGAGGCCAGTTATAGCCCCCACCCCCACAGTGGATGAAGAAAGATGAAAAGAAAACGGTACAATGTTCTGGCCTAACAGGACAAAGGCAGAAAATTAATGTCAACAAGAAATAGACATCAGATCTGGGGAAAGGGTGCAGGGGATGAAGCATTTACTATGCAGGCATGAGAACTTGAGTTCAAAGCCCCGGCATCCATTTAGAAAGCACAGTACTAACTGTGCATCTATACCTCCAGTGCTGGAGCAGAAAGAGACAGAGACAAGAAGACTCCTAGGACTTGCCTGTCAGCTGGTCAGTCAAAGTGGTGAGCTCCAGGTTCAGTGAGAGACCCTGCCTCAAAAAGAGTAAGGGAAGTGGTTAAAGAAGCCACCTGAATCTGCTTCTGTTCCCTACACTTGCTTGTGCAGAAGGGTGTTCCTGCACACTCACAGACCAAATCATATTTCTTCCCCATCAAGAGTACATGCATCTTGCTATCTTTGAAGGTTTTTTAAATCTATAAATGTACCCTAACCAGCCTGAGGTATGTGTTCTCAGTCAACTATCTCAGCTAAATGGAAAGGGATATTTTAAAATCTAAAATGATAGTTGGCAAGATTTTTCTATAAAGGCCACACACCTGGCTTTCCCAGGTCACATGGTCTCCACTACAGGAACTGCACCTTGTCCAAGTGTCAAAGGAGCCTCATGTGATAGGAGAATTAAGAAACATGGTTGTGTTTCAATAAAACTTTATTTAGGGAAACAGACATTTGAATGTTATATAAATCCTCATGGATCATGAATTTTTCTTCCTCTCCCTCCTTTTCTCTTCTTCCTCCTTCCCTTTCCTCCTCCTCACTTTCTTTATCTAAAAATGTAAGACCCCCCTCTTCATTCACAGGCGGTACAAAAACAAGAGCGGGTGTATAATGTGAGCCTGTGCGGTAGAATTAGCTGACTCCTTCTTGGTCCAAATTGTTGCCCCTTTATCTCAGTTGGAGTGCTTTCTGTAAAGAGAGCTCCATGCCTCCTTTATTTGGGTTTCCCAAGTCTTTGGCAGGAAGTAGAGCCAGATTTTCACTATCTAACAGGTGTGGGAGGCCTTAGCTGGAGACCTTGAACTTGGCAAATGGCCAGTCCTCATTTACTTGTTGAATGAAGTTTATCTGTTGAATGAAGCTTACTAGGTTTGTAGACACTATAGCTTGTAATCTGCTCTTTGCTTTTTTCTTATGACCCGAGTTTGGAATTAGAATTGAGGGTTCTAACAAGTGTAAATCCACCCACTAAAAAAAGATTTCTGCGAAAACTGGATGAAAGGCCACAAATCCAGCGGAGGCCTGTGTCCAGTGTACTTACTCTGAAGAAACTTTTCCATTGGCCAGCTCAGAACCCACATATAGAGCACCCTGACCGGAGTGTGTGTGTGTGTGTGTGTGTGTGTGTGTGTGTGTGTGTGAACTGGAAACAACCTCTCCTGTCCCACGGATCCTGGGAGTGCAGCCACACAGGCTAACCACCAGGGAGGAAGAAGAGCAGGCTTGGCCCCTAGTCCTTCACGGGCCCCTTTGTCAGCTCCAGCCCTCCAGTGTGTTGAAAGCAGATACGCAAAGGCTGTTTCATGGGTCAGAACTGGCTAGTGGCTTCTCTGTAGCTGCAGCTGTCTAGAGAGAGAAGTAGCTGTCAGGAGAACTGGAGGTCAGACCGTTCACGCCAGGTCAGTTTGTCTCATCCCGTAAAATCCACCCCACAGAATGCAGAGGTGAGCTGTGACGTGCCCATCCCGGACAACACACCCTTTTCTAAGGCAGGCTCGAGATCGATAACTCCGGAGCATTCTCAGGGCCACTCTGCAAACACGAGGACCGTGGTTCAGCACACACACAGCTGAAAGCAGCATTGTGCACGTAACCCAGCACTGTGTGTCGGTATGGGGACACAGACAGCAGGATTCCCCGGTGCGCATCAGCCAACCAGCCAGGCAGAACTCAACTACAGGCTCAGTCAGAGACTGTCTCATGACAATAAGGTATAAGGCAATCAGAGTAGACCCCTGATGCCAACCTCTGGTTTCCATATACCTGCAGGCACATGTATTCACACCCATGGGAACACATTGATGAAGTACACACATAAGAAATAAATAATAAAATATTAAGAAAAATAGTCTCAAGAAAGTAATATATGCTTGAATTTGGGAATAAGACACATCATTTCTTTCTTTTTGTTTTGTTTTGTTTTGTTTTGTTTTTCAAGACAGGGTTTCTCTGTATAGCTCTGACTGTCCTAAAGCTCTGGAACTCACAGAGATCCACCTGCCTTTTTCTCCCAGGTGCTGGGACTAAAGGTGCATGCCACCACTGGCCAGCTTGATGCTTCATTTCTTATGTGTGCCTCTTGAGGGCCACTTCTGAGAAGATTCTCCATACCCAGGAGTTCACCATATTAGTTTGGTAGCTGAACAACAGACATTTTAGATTTGCTGTTTGCATAGCTTAGTTCTGTAGAAACTGGATTTTGACACTAGTCATTAATGCATGGTTCTTTTACCTTAGTTCTGTGTGCAACTGAATGTTTTTAATTTGTAAGCATTGCCTGCCATAAATATGTTTTCCTCAACAACATCAATAAAAAATAAGCTTAGAAATACAGACTTTCAGGAGCTGGAAATATGGCTCAGTGGTTAAGAGCATTGACTGCTCTTCCATAGGTCCTAAGTTCAATTCCCAGCAACCACATTTGTACTGAGATCTGGTGTCCTCTTCTGGCTCGCAGGGACACATGCAGACAGAGCACTGTATACGTAATAAATAAATAAATTTTTTTTTAAAAAAAGAATGATTTAATTAAAAAAAAAAAAAAGAAAGAAATACAGACCTTCGGAGAAGGCTTTTGTATGTTTAGCCCAGGATCCAAGGCTTAATTCCAAGATGCCATAGAGTCTAGGTGGTCAAATAGCCATTTAAATTAATGACCTCACACAAAAGCCAAAGTAACTCTGGGGCTGGAAAAATGTCTCAGTAGTTAAGAATACTGGCTTCTCTTCCAGAGGACCTAGGTTTGATTCCCACATGGCAACTCACAATCATTTATAACTCTAGCCCCAGGGCATTAGACACCCTCTTCAGACTCCCAAGGGCACTGCATTAATGTGGCGTACAAACTTGCATATTGAAATAAAGTCTTCCCCAACCTGAGGGTCTTGAATCTGTCCCTTCCTAAAAGCCTTCCTGGCCCTGGGCACTGCCTTTCTATACTCAACAGTTCATCAAGTGGGATTTGACTCTACCTGTGGAGAATGAGTATTAAAAACCATACAGGACATAGAAACCATAAGAACACCTTCACTGAAGCATGAGGGAAAGGAGGTTATGTTTGCGAGGGAGAGAGGCTGGAAGTGCTGACAGAGTGTCCATAGGAAGAGGCTGATACAGGGACAGCTCTGAACAAGAACAGCTCTGCTGAGCCACTCCTGGGCTCTTCTGTCTTTGATCTCCTTTTTCTTACTCAGCACATCCCAAAGGGTTTTCTTGCATATTTCTCTTTTCAGTTGATAGAAAGGCTCACAGCCTCTTCTTAGAGTTTTTTGAAACAGGACCTCTCTCTACATCCCTGACTGTCCTGAAACTCACTATGTAGACCAGACTGGCCTTGAACTCACAGAGATAGGATTTTCTCTGCCTCCCAAGTGCTGGGACTAAAGGTGTGTGTTCCACAACCAGCATTCTTAATGTGATAATGAAATGTTGGGTTAACAATGCTGAAAACCAATGGCTGAGATATAAACAGTTAAGTGAATAGTGCCCATGATAGTAAGAAAAAATGTATCATGAGTGTTGATAGTCTGACAAGGAGTAGACAAATTTGTATGCTATCGTTAAAGGGTTAGGAAATAGTCTTATCTAAAAATAATGTTTTCTCACTTGTACTATTTTCCTCGGCACAGCACAAATAATCTTGCTTCGTTTCCTGATGTGTGTTCATGTTTAAAAACAAATCGCATGTGTCACCATTCAGGAAGTGAGCAGAGTTGGCATTTCTGTCTGAAAACAATTGACTAGCCTCTGAGCTATCAATCGGGGCAGCTATAGGAGCTAATGTTAGGTGGGGTGGGCCCAATACAGAATAAAACCAAAAAGTCTTCATGGAATCATCATGGATCAATGT